ATATATCCCCATCTTTGTTAAGATATGTTTATGGTTGTGACTTCCTTATGCTTAAGTCTTGTAAGAACTTACCTTCTTGATATTGTAATATCTTGATACTTGCTTTGGTTGTGACCATCTATCTTGATTGAAATCATTAATATTGTAATATCTTAAATGCTTGCTTTGGTTGTAACCATTCATCCTGATTTAGATCCTTGCTTTGCTTGATCATTCTTGGTTGTAACCATATCCCTTATATTCATCATGTGTGAATGTTTATGCTTTGTTAAGTTTACTTTCCCCAGGTGATGGAACTCTTTAGTTCTCATCCAAGTTGCGTCATCTTTTCCCTTCCAAAGGAAAGTCTCTCTATTGACCCTTGGGTCATAGATAGCTCTTTAAACTCATAGGTCTGAATAAAACCTTCTCTCCCTTTTGGTCTGGATAGAACCAATAGGATACCCTCATAGGTCTAGATAGAACCTTCCCCTCCTTTTGGTCTGGATAGAACCAATAAGATTTAAACTCATAGGTCTGGATAGAACCTTCACCATCTTTTGGTCTGGAAAGAACCAATAGATCCTTATTCTGTAGTTCGTGCCCGAACTACGACCGCTCTGATTTCTCATTGGACAATGAGAATACGTAGGCACAATATGCAATATCTTGACGAGCAACCTTCCCTCTTTCTCCCACCTTTTGGTCTGGATAAAACCAATTGGTCTCACGATGTAGAACTTTAGGATAGAGTTTGGTTAACTCTATGTAAGAATCATGGATATGATTACTTACTCCCATTTCTTGAGAGTTCAACATAGATCTAGAGAGTTTTCTTAAACTCTACCCAAGCATGGATATGTTTGTTCCCCTTTGAACCTTAATCATAATCAAGTGTTCTTCATCCCTTGTGAGGTGAACTACGATTGCTCTGATTCTATCCTAGTTAGGATACGTAGGCAGAGGATGCGACGTCTTTGCGAGCAAGCTTAGAAACTATCTTAAGGTTTTAACCTACACCTTTTTACCCAACCCCAAACCTTAGCAAATATTTACCAAAATTAGCATGCAAGCAAACAAAAGGTTCCTGTAGAGTACTACAGATGTTTAGGATGTGAGATACCTACCCTATGCATAACCAACCCCCGATCCCCGAATCTCTTAGCGTTGTTGTTACATCGCGAAAAGGGCTTTTCTTTCTTTATACCTTTCCTTTGGATAAATTAAAGTCCGGTTTTGAACTTAAGAATTAAATATTCAAGTTAATCAATAGCTTGGTATCACGATTCTCACCGCAACAGTTAGATAAACAGTTCTGTCAGTCTGCAGATGTTACAACAGATGTCATGACACTGTTAATTTTTAAAGTGAATTAAAATGGTCATGTTCTAACCTTATTTTGTTTTGGCAGAGATCAATGTCTTAACATCACTAGGGACATCTGAAATCTGCATACCAGAATTTCAATGGGGATCTATGGAGGGTTGATGGCCCAGTGTCCATCGCGCTGTGATGATTGGTACCACATGCATTGAGTCTTGTTGCATTTGCATTTATGAGTCATTTGGAATAATTTATGATGGTGTGGCCTTTGAGGCCTATTGAAGGATATCAATGTGTTGAATATGAATATGACGCCGTTTTATATGTTGATTTGTATACATTGATTATTATGAATCGTTTTACTCACCCTGCCTGTTTGAATGTTACCTCCACGTGGGTAACGTGCAGATGACCAGATTTAGTCGTGGATGTCATCGAGGATATTTTTGAAGTCTTTGAGTTGTTAGCCTTTTGGTTAACTTAGAGGGTCTTGCTCTGATACGTAACATCGGGTTGGGGTCTTTTGAGTTAAACTATGTTTTATTTGAGTTTATTTTGATTATCTTTCCGTGTGAAGAAAACCTTGATTTATGCCTTTTGAGTTCCGCTGCTTTGTGCAATTTGATATATTTTAGGAAAACTCGTTGCTTATGGAGCCTTGACCTATTTTGTTGATTTGGGAAATGTACGCCCTTTTGGGTGGATTTTTGTTGAAATTTAATATTTTACTCTGATATCTGTGTTATTTTGCCATAATAACTGTGGGGTAGAAAAGGGTGTTATAGATGGCGCCCTGGACACTGCGCTAGTCGAGTAGCGCATCGATATTTTAGATGTGCTCGTCGGGATCCGTAGTATCTTTGTATATGCTCGGAGAAGGGGTTTCTCCAATCCCTTCGGCAGGCGCATAGTCATAATCTCCTAGGACAACGGGCCGCGAGGCTCATCGTCACTGCTGCTGGTAGACCAAGAGGAGGAGCGAGTGTCTCGTCTATAGGTAGGATGGTGATCTCGAAGAGGAGATAAGGTTCATGTTCGACCCTTGGATCTGGGCGAAGGCGAATGCTGGGACTCTGGTCAATGATCTCTTTTGGTCCTCTTAGGTTACAGGGAATGCTGGTTCCGAAGAGTGATGTGGTCGCACTTTCTGACGGTCTGGGTTTCTGGCTCCGGAGGCGTCCGACGGTTTCTTTCTCACTGGGGAGGAAGACTTCATTATCATTGACACTCTTTCCTTGGCAGAGAGGATCTTGGATGACTGGATTCTTCTAAGGCTCCAATCGTCGCGCTCTGGTTGAGGATTAGGAGGTTGGTCTTATTGAGAACCTCAAGGAGGGCACTCATGGTCGGGTTGGCGCTAGGCGAAACTGGAACTGGAAAGTGCTCCGGGACGAGTGGGACCTCATTATGATCTGCGCGAACAGGAGATGGAGAAGCGGTGGCTTCGTCCCTTTGTCGGAGGACGTCGCCCCCAAGAGAGGTGGTTGCTCCGTTAGTATCAGTTTTGTTGACGGGGATGAAAGCAGAGTTGCGAGCATCATGAGTGTTGTCACGGTTGGCCATGATCGGAATTTTGGAAGAATTTTCTTGGTCTCGAATCTATGAGGGGAGAAAAGACAGGGATAACAAGTTTCCCACAAACAGCGCAACTGATCTTGACGGATGACTAGAACCTGAAGTGGGCCATAGACAAACGCATGTGATGCTGGGTGTAAGAGAGGAGGAGGTGGTGTACCTGCAAGACACTCCGATGTTAAAGTAAGAATCAGGAGAAAGAAAACAAGTACGAAATATGTGGTATCAAGGTGAATATTGAATACCTAACCCTCTAAAATGATAGGGTTTTTATAATGCCCCAGCGCTTGGCCATTGATCCCTATTTTCGGAGTGAGATAAACGTTTCCTAAAGAATAGGTAACTGCCAAAATTAGCCGTTGGAACGGGCAGAGGTGCCCATAACTAGCCATTGTTATAGGCAGAGGCGCATCTCTGGCACAAGTGTCTTGACTGTTTCTGGATGGTGGAACCGTGAGTGACAGACAAGTCTTGTCAAGGAGGAGTGTTGGTCTAGGGGTAAACTGGTCAACCTCCCCTGTTGGAGGGGCAGAAGGGTAAATGACTCCCCCCACATAGCTGGACTCAAAAAAATTGGGTCGTTCTGGGAGCAAAAGGGAATTGGGCCATGCCTAGTCACTGGACCAGTCCGAAACAGTAACTATTAGATGGAACCTTCCGCCATCTCTTTCCTCATCGTCACCCACTATTTAATAATTATCAAGATCAACAACATCAAAATCAGTAGATTTATCAATGTATTCTATATATTTTGCAATAAAGACTTTTCCTACTATGAGTGAAGATGAAGAACAAAGCAAAGACCAATTAACGTCTTCAAAATTTGGTAGAAAAATGTATATTAGGATTTTAAGAAATGATGGTTGTTTTAAAAGTAGGTATATTACATACCACGTTAATATTGTTTTAATTACAAGTAAAAATAATTTTAACAAAAAGCCTGTGGAAAAAATCTGTCCCGCCCTGCACTTGGACAATTTCATATATATATATATATATATATATATATATATATATATATATATATATATATATATATATATATATATATATATATATATATATATATATATATATATATATATATATATATGGGGCGCTAAATTTCATATGGGTATTATATTCTTGCTTTTGTATTTATTTAAACTATTTTCTTTTTATTTTATTTTATCTAATTGAAAAAATTGGATTTTCTATCCTATATATAAAGGAACACTAATTTTTTTGGGTAAATATAATCTTTTCTTCCTGTTTTAACATTTATTTAAATTATTTTGTTTAAAAGTTTTTCTTTTTACCAATTAAAATAAAGCGGATACCAACTTAATTTTTGTGCGACTATACTTTCAATTTTGTTCTTTATTTAAAACAATTTTTATAATTTTTTCATTCTTCAACCAAGCAACTTCTGGTGTGATTTCTTTCTTTCAAGTTTATCATTCATTAAAACTATTTTATTTATAATTTTATCTTATCTTTTTTGTCGACCAAAGAATATTGGATTTAGTATATCTATATCTATATATAAATAAAGAAAAAATATAATTTTTTTGTAGTTTTTTTTTCTTTTTAAATCTACTGTTTTCAATTTTTATTGTAAATGTTAATTTTTTTTCCTAATAAATAATGGTTATATGATCGTTTATTAATTTTTACACCATTATTTATTACTATTATTTTATAAATAATAAATAATTAAATAAAAATAATAAAACGATTTATATTTTACACGCATGAGTATTATAAAAAACAGAGACACGCTAGTTATATATAAAAGGAATACTAATTTTTGGTGTAATCATATTTTATTCTAGTTTTATTATTTATTTAAACTCTTTTAGTCATAATTTTATCTTTTTTATTCAATAAAAATAATAAATTAAAAAATATAAGAGGTCTAAAAAAATAAAGACATGATAGTACCGTTTGCACACTAATAAAATATAAAATAGGATAAGAGTGCTTACTTATATAGGAAAATAAATACTTTTGAATAATAGGAAAACAAGAAAACAATACATTTTATTTTATTAATCCTAATTTATTGTAAAAGTAAGAGTCCAAAGACTCTATCGATATTATTATTGCAAAAAGGATTATTGTTTGCATCAAATAATGAGAAATTAAAATCCAGCAAATTCTTCGAGTTCTCCCTCTTTAGTGCCATATATTTTAAGAAAATCCATAAACTCCTCAAACATGAATGGCTTGTAAACAGGAGGATGATCTTCTTCATCAATCAACTCAGAGGGTGCCTTAATAACAGTCTCTTTCTTTGGCACTGAAAAAAGAATAAATACAAATCTCTCTTTGTTTCCTCTTAACACCACTCTATGCATTGGTGCTTTAAATCTTCCATTGCTCCATGCCTATATATATATTAATCATCATAATCATAAAAAATTAAAAAAAAAATCACTTAGTTTTATTATTAATAAAAAAAATTATTTGATTTATAATTTTTTTAATAAAATTATTTATAAATAATTAAAATAAAAATAATAATTGCACAAAAAGTTAATATTTTATTTACCTGTAACATGTCACCAACAATTACAATAAAGCTATTTGGAGGGAAATTCACGTCAGCCCAATTGCCTGATTTTTGTAACACCTGCAAACCTGGAACGTCATCCTCACATAAAAGGGTTATGGTTCCTTTGTCGGTGTGAGGCACACAAGTAATAGCAGAATCTTTGTTTTCTTCCGGAAGTTGATACTTTGTCATTCGTGAATTAGCACTGCTATTCAGCTCTTCAACTTCTGAAATATACTTTTCAGAAAGGCCGAAACCCTCCGCGGCCATTTTAAGAATAAGCGAGTTTAATTCTCGTGCTTTTGAAGAAAAAGAAAGAAGTGTCTCACTGCATGAAAAATACTACAGTAAATTTTATTTAATATAATAGAAAAATAAAATAATTAATTACCTAAAAGTGGGATTTCCTTCCGGCCACATGAGATTAGTGAATTTTTGAGTCGTATCTGATTTAAAAGCATCATCGATACTAAAACTATGACTGTGAGGAAGGCCAGGAAGTTTGTTGTAGCCTCTATAATTCCCTGTGCCAGTGTACTTCAGCTTTGTCTCTTCAGGTAGATCAAACAGAGATTTCATGCCTGTAAACATTTCTTTACGTAATTCATTTGGTATTTCATCGCATTTTAAGAGAAAAACACCGTGACTCTCAAATGCTTCTCTCACTTTCTTACTCATTTCTTTCCATCCTTCACTTCCTTCTTCTAGTGTAATTCCATTTTTCTTACGAAAATCTAAAATTGGGATTCCACTCTCGCTGTCCATTTTCTCTTTTCTTTTTTTTTTCCACTATATTTTATTATGTGGATTGTATTGTTCTTGACTAATGTTGAATTATATATAATGACAATATATAAAATACTATTGAAGTAAACTTATTATTATTATTTTTTTAATATATTTTTTAGATAAATACAATGAGATTATAATAATAATAATAATTATTATTATTATTATTATTCTTATTAAAATGATTTTCTTTTTTTACTCAATTCAAATGGTTCATTGACTTTGCTTTCAATGGTAACATTAAAAATATAAATTTTCCATTTAAAAATGTGTATTGGTCAAAAACAAATATTATAACTTTGTTTTTTAAGATATTTTTTAACAATATATTTTTTTATAAATCAATAAAAAAGTGTATAGTTTAAAAATTTCTAGAAAACAAATTATTAATATACCTTTTTGAATTCATTTAACATAATAGTCTCTTTGTTTTCTATAAAACTTAATATACCTTTTTGTAATTGATATTATTATATTAAATTTTGTAAAATTTGAAATAACCAATATATTTCATTAATTAAATAAATATAATATAAAATTTATACAAAATAAAATTATTAAAAAAAACATAATAAAATATATTATTTGTCATTAAATGATTATACATTTTAAACATAATTTTGTTTAATGATTATATATGATCATTCTAATTTTGTTTTTAAAACATGCACTAAATTATTTGGACTAACTTACAAATATTTGCCTCAATTTATATTTATTTTTTATTAAAGACAATTTATCTAGTTTTTTTTTTTTGACATTACTCAATGAAAATATATGTCAAGTAATTTTTCATTAATACTCATTCAATATATTAATTGTAAATGTTAATGACTTCTTTAGTGACTTATTTTTTATAAATAAAAATAAAAATTGAAGTTTGAAATTGAATTTTGAAAAATTATAGTTAATATATTATAATTGTATTCATTTTTATGTCAATAATATTATTATTTGTTTTTAATTTTATATAATTTATACTGACAAATATTTATTTTGTGTAACACTTTATAATAAAAGTAAAGTAGAATATTAATATTACTTATATTTTTTTATTAAGAAGATAGTATAAATATATGAAAAATGTTAAAAGAATTGAAATGCATAAAAAAAAATTTAGTGTATTTTAATTATTCTTATTTTTAGATGGTGAATTATATTTAGTCTACTTTTTAGGGTGACAATATTAAAAAGTTGTTCTGGACTAGGTCGGGACCTGTCCATCCGTCGGGTAGGCCCAACCCAACACTATGTTTGGAAGGTCCAATGATGCCCAACATATTTAATTTTGGTGAATAGTGAAATAGTGAAATAAAATGAAGTATAAGATTTTGGTGTAAAACTATCATTTTTCTATTATAAATAAACATTTAATTTGAGACATAAATAATACAAAGTAGATTCATAATTTGTAGTAGTATTTAGTATAATCATATTTTATTCCAATTTTATCATTTATTTAAGTATTTTTTTATTATTTACTTAAACAGTTTTATTTTTAACTTTTTTTGTTTTTTTTATTTTATAAAAAAGAAGAAGAATATTAAAGAAATGAGCGACTAAAAAAATCAAATAGATAATATTGTTACTCCAACTTAGCTCTAACTTCATCCTCTCCAAAAAATTTATCTAAACTCCTGACAAATACAATTTGGGACTGACCTCTACCACTGTTCGGGGCAGAGTGGTTTTTGTTACTATTTGGAGTGCAAGCTCCTTTTTCTCGGGCTAAATCAAGTTGGACACCTCTTTGCAACAATTCTTGCCCATTCAACTTAAGTGCACTTTGAGCAACTCAACGTGTCCAAACCCTTTAAACCTCTCATCCTCATCTGAAGCAAGACAGACATCAACAACTTCTCCACATTCTTGAAAGAAATTTTCAATGTCTGATTGCTCAACACAGAATGACAGGTTCCCAACAAATAAGGTCTTTGAACCTCCATTCTCACTCGGTGTAGCTGGGATAACAGAAGCTTTCTTTGAAGATTTGTCAGCATCAATCATCTCCACATCCTTGGTCTTTTTTTGAGGTGTTTTGGATGGTTCATCCTTGCTCTCTTCATCACTATCATTTTTTTCGGAACTATCACTATTATCCTTGTCAATGTTTATCTTATCCTCTTTCTTAGCAACAATCACTACCTTCTTATTTCCATTGGAAGCATTAGAATTTTTATTGTCTTCATCAGAGCTACTATCCTCTTCATCGTTGATATCCTCATCATCATCCTCAGTCTTTTTAGCAATAACATCAGACTTAGACATAGCAGTAACGAAAGGCTTGATATCCTCATCATCATCAGAATCAGACTCCTCTGTGCTATCAAATTTGGAGCTTTTAGCTGGCTTCTTTGCAGCAGCAGGCTTCTCATCAGCAATGACAACCTTAGCTTTTGGTGCTTCTTCATCAGGTTGAGGAAGAAGTCAAGAAAGTGAGTGCTAAGAAACAAAAGGTAGAGGGGGTTATTGCTAAGAAAAATCAGAAAATTGTGGTTCAAAAAGTTAAGGAGGAAAGTAGCTCAGAGGAAGATTCCTCTGAATCCGAGGATGAGAAACCCGTTGCAAAACCTACTGCTCTTGTCAAAAAGGCTCCAGCTAAGAACGAGAATGCTAAGAAAGCCAAGCCTTTGCTGGAAATGCTCATGTCCCCACATTGGTTAGAAATATGGAGGCTTGAGCATTTATAAGTGAGAGAACCCACCCACATATTCATCCAAAATCTTAAGGGGATAGGTAAGTGGACTTTCTCACTTATAAATGCTCAAGTCTCCACATTTCCAACCAACTGTGAGTCCACTTTTCTCCCCCTCAAGTGTAAGCTCTTCTTACTTCCACAAACTCTTATATCGCACGAAATATTTTTCTTACTCACCACCCTTGTGGCGTCGTTAACACACTTCAACAGAACGTTTCCTACTTACCACCCTTGTGGCGCCGTTGACTTTCGATACAAGTAATATGATTACTTTCTCGAACCAAAGGGTCATGATACCATGTGTTGGGGGAGTTTCTCACTAGGGAGCATTGAATATTGTGAGACTTCTTCTTTTAAAGCAACACATTTATGAGAGACACATCACATATTCACCCAAAATCTTAAAGTGATATGTGAGTGGACTCTCTACTTATAAATGCTCAACTCTTCATATTTCCAAACAATGTGAGACTATTATCCACACCACTCACATTTCTACATTCTCAATAAATACCAGTTGATACACAAATATAATATTATAAATAGGATAAGAATACAATACATTTTATTCGACTAATCTTTGTTTATTGCAAAACTGAGAGTGCATTTTATTCGACTAATCTTTATTTATTGCAAAAGTGAGAGTTCAAATACTCTTCATTATTATGAAATAAAGAAATAACACTTGCATCACGCAATAAGAGATCAAATTCCAACATATTGTTCAAGTACACCCTCTGCATCAAAGTCAACTCCAATTGTTTTATGAAAAATTAAGTACTCCTCATGCTTTAATGGCTTGTAATGGAGAGGGTGATCTTCATCCACCAATTCAGAGGGCACCTTAACAAGTGTATCTAGCCTTGGCAATCCAAAAAGAACAAATACCAATCTCTCTTTGTCTCCTCTTGTAACCACTCTATGTATTGGTGCTTTCAATCTTTCATTGCTCCATGCCTATGTATATTAATCATTATGATCATCATAATTAATTAGTACTATCTATTAACTAAAAATAGTTAAAATACTCATTTATAATAAATGATTACCTTCAAGATGTCACCAACAACTACAATGAAACCCTTTGGAGGAATGTTTACTTTAACCCAATTGCCCGATTTTTGTAACACTTATAAACCTTGGACTTCATTGTGGCATATAAGAGCTAATGTGCCTTTGTTAGTGTGAGGCACCAAAGCAATCTCAAAATCCTTGTTTTCTTCTGGAAGTAGATACCTTGTCATCCGTGAATCATTGCGGTCAATCAACTTTTCAACTTCTGAAATGTATTTTTCTGGAAGACCAAAGCCCTTCACGACCATCTTTAAGATACGAAAGTTGTGTTCCCGTGTTTTTAAGGTCATAAAATCTAGTGTCTCACTGCATATACATAATCTATCATGTCTTATTCCATTATCATAGTGTTGCACCCTAAAATTTGACCAACCGGTCCCCATATCTGGTTTATGTTTCAACGCATTTTGCATTTCGCATTCGCATACGGCATGCATTGCATTTTTATCATTTAAATGGATTTTATTGGGATTGCAGCCCCTGGCGTTTCAGGCAGTTCAGGCCGGTTGGAATAAAAGTCTGTTGAGAATTGGTGTTCGTTTCCTGGTGTTTTCAGGCCATCTCGGTGCCAGGGTTTCGCTACGGTCGCGCCATTGGGTTTTATTCTGTTTAATCGGCCTCCTGGCATTTTTAAGATTTTTCTGTCATTTTTCTGGATTTTAATGCATTTAATTGGATTTTTCTGGATTTAATAGAGTTTTTTATAATTTTTAGAATTTAAATAAATTTTCTTTTCATTTTTTAGAAATTAATAGATTTTTTAGATATTATAGTTTTTAATAAATTTTAGATATTAATTTTCTTTTACTAGTTTTTAATAGATAAATAGATTTCTTTTTCTTTTAAAAGAGTAGATAAAAAAAAATAGATAGTTTTGTTTCTCTTAGATTTTTATTGGAGTTCATTGTTTTAAAAAAAAATTAAAAAATTAAAATTAATGGAATAGATTTTTAAAAGAAAATAGAGATTAAATGTTTTTTTAGATTTTTTTTTTCAGAATTAATTAGGTTTTTTTAAAAAAAAAGAGATAATTTTTTAGATTAACTAATAGTTTTTTTAGATTTTTAGAGTTAATTAGGTTTTACTTGTTAATTTTCATTTTAACAAATTAATTAGGATTTTAATTTTCATTTTTAGGATTTAATTAGAGTAATTAGATTTTAATCACTTTTTTAGATGTTAATTAGGGTCAGAATAGTCTTAA